ATTCATACTTTTATTAATCCACTAGTGTAAATATTTTAAATTGAAGATTGAATTCATTACTTGTATTCATATAGGGTCAAGGAGTGTAGTTGTAAAAAATCATCAAAATCGGAGTTAAAATAACCGTTAAATCGTGATTTTTCGTTTATAACCGTCGAAAACTTTTGTCCCGTTACTTGATCTCTGAATGTTTGTTTTTTGCAATTTTTGGCGTATGCGATCTCGAAGTATATACAAACATGTTTGACGGTTGGATCATTGAAACTAGTTTTGTAGAATGAGTATCCCATCAAAACAATAGATTCACTAATACTTAAGAGTTTATTCATACTTTTATTAAGTATAACATAAGATTTTGTGGTATCCACTAGTGTAAATATTTTAAATTGAAGATCGAATTCAATCATTGTATTCATATAGGGTCAAGGAGTGTGGTTGTAAAAAATCATCAAAATCGGAGTTAAAATGACCGTTAAATCGTGATTTTTCGTTTATAACCGTCGAAAAGTTTTGTCCCTTTACTTGGTATCTGAATGTTTGTTTTTTTTCAATTTTTGACGTATGCGATCTCGAAGTATATACAAACATGTTTGAAATTAGTTTCGTATAATTCGTATCCCATGAAGTTCAATGGTGTGTGTGTGTGTATATATATATATTTATTTATTAAGTAGATTTAAATCTATTTATTTTGTATGTATAATTATTATAGTTTTTAGGGGTATAAAATTTAATATATATATATATATAATTATTATAGTTAATATTTTGGGTATAATTATTATAGTTAATTTAATATATATATATATATATATATAATTATTATAGTTTTTAGGGGTATAAAATTGTTAAATTAATATATATATATATATAATTATTATAGTATTTTTTTAGGGTTATAAATTATTAAATTAATATTCTGCTTATCGTGTATCGTGTTACCCACGTGTATACCCGAACAAACCCGTTATCTTAACAGGTGCTTATCGGGTTACCCGATAACGACCCGTTTCGTTATCGTGTCGACCTGAACACCTATTAATTTCGTGTCGTGTCGTGTCGGGTTATCGGGTCGTGTCAGGAATTGCCAGGCCACTCTCTCTCGGTTTCACTCTCTTTCTCCTTGCTATACGTACGGACAAGAGCAAGAACGCCTTAAGCTTCACATATCGAAGGTTTTGAGCACACCATTGTGTTCCTTATTCCATTACGAGTTCAAAGATACCCATTTCAGGTAAAAACTCGTCTGATATCACGTTGAAAACTCAAGCTTCGAGTTGAGCACTATTCATGAACTTTTGAATGGCTATGTTTTAGGACAATCCAAGCTCACATCGAGCTCTAGGAGGTTCTCATGAAGCTCGGAGTGCTTCGTTGGCTCGGTTTTGACGTCAGGATCACGAGGTTCGAAGGTGGCCGATTTTGGTAGGATTTTCCCAATGAGTTTTTGAGGGATTTGAAGCTCCAAAAAGGTATAACCTTATTCCTCTCGTGATTTATGACATTTTATTGAAAATTTTATGGAAAATGATGCAAAAACGAGCGAGAAAAAGGCAGTTGCAGGTCTGCCCATAATCCGGCGCCTGTAACACTGTTCTGGCGTCTGGAGGTTGAAGATGATGCGCGTGAGGCCGTGCCTTCTCGGCGCGTGAGCCACAGAAAAATTATTTTTAAAATATCACGATGTTCGTGAGGTTGTGTAGGTTACGTTGGTATATTCAAATACCAAAATTGAGCTTTGTATGAGAAGTTATTAGCTAGTTTTACCTATGTGCTTTAAAATAACGTTTTTATAGTTAATTTTCATATATGTGAGACTTATCCGGAGGATGAGCGTATTCAAGGGCGACTCGGGGGCTATGACCTTTCAACGTACTAGTGAGTGGGCTTTTGGTTTTTATTATATATTATATACTTGATATTTTCCCAGAAATATGTGTTTAAATGATAGTATGCCGTAAATGCCCTGCATATAAGTTTATAATTCATACATGATTTGGTGTGTGATGCTTTATATATATAAATGTGGTGTTGTGGACGCTCAGGTAAGTTATGTTTGGTTATGTGAATCATCGATGATGTGATATGTGATTGAATGATGTTGAACTCATAAAACTGCACTTAGGGTGATTGTGATTTAGCCATAGACATAGCACATGCCTGTTTATTATGTCACATCCCGCACCATATGCTCATAATGGATCTAATTTAGGTGCACAATCTTGTCATACAGACCTTTATTATGGTTCCGACTCGTAGGTGACTAGCGATTTATCGCCCAGCTATTATGTGAGAGTAGTATTGAGCATGATTATATTACACCCGTTATTGTCGTATAGACATTTTTGTTTGGTTTCGACTATTGTGCAGTATGTTGCCGTATAGGTCATTGTAGTGACTTCGGATACAGTGACTTTTGAGCTATGAATTCAGCCTTACAAACTACCACAAGGGTTTTAGCTAACATATTATATATTGGATAAAAGACTGTTTTACCACCCTCATGTTTCGTGGTTTTCAACATTTAGTACATCAAGTTTTTTTCGTCCCAGAGTCATACCTAAAGTGTAAATTTTGGGACGGTCTCATACATCTGTTAGTCAAACTGTTAGTTCTCCCGTTAAGTGATGACGTGGCGCCCTGATTGGACGCCACGTGTCATTAAAAAATAAAAAATGTATTTAAATAAAAATAATATTTAAATAATATTTAAATAATAAATTTTTTTTTCCTTCTTCTCTTCTTCTTCTTTTCTTATTCTTCTTCTTCTTCTTCTTCTTCTTCTTCTGGGTTCGGTTCTCTCTTTTTTTTCTTCTTTTTTTCTCCTTCCTCCTCCTTCTTCTTCTTCCTTCTCCTTCCTCCTCATTCTTCTTCTCCTTCTTCTTCCTTCTTAAGAAGGAAGGAGGAGAAGGAAAAAAACAGAAAAAAAAAAAAACCGAACCCAGAAAAGAAGAGGAAGAAGAAGGAAGAAGAAGGAGAAGAAGAATGAGGAGGAAGGAGAAGGAAGAAGAAGAAGGAGGAGGAAGGAGAAAAAAAGAAGAAAAAAAAGAGAGAACCGAACCCAGAAGAAGAAGAAGAAGAAGAAGAAGAAGAATAAGAAAAGAAGAAGAAGAGAAGAAGGAAAAAAAAATTTATTATTTAAATATTATTTAAATATTATTTTTATTTAAATACATTTTTTATTTTTTAATGACACGTGGCGTCCAATCAGGGCGCCACGTCATCACTTAACGGGAGAACTAACAGTTTGACTAACAGATGTATGAGACTGTCCCAAAATTTACACTTTAGGTATGACTCTGGGACGAAAAAAATTTGATGCATTAAATGTTGAAAACCACGAAATATGAGGGTGGTAAACAATCTTTTACCCTATTATATTTCTATGAAATTATTCTTACCTGAATTGCTTACTCTGTTATATCTTGGTATGACATATATATGAATATGATTATGTGAAGCATGTATTTAATTGATATGATTCTACATATATTTATATATATATATGCCTATATCTTGATTATGGGAAAAATTATACATGTTTTACAGTGAGGGGTTAGTTATGTTGATAAATGAAATGATTTTGTAAAACATTTGTTTTTGCCCACTCACGTTTTGTGTTTTGCGCCCCTCCAGGTTTTAAGTAAGTTTGCTGTTGGTGGCTTGAGGACGTCGGCAGTTGACCCATCTAAATAATAGTAGGACATTATTGGTACTATACAACTAGTACTTGTTCTACTGGACTGCACATAGACTTATTATGCTCTGATTATGACTGTTTACTTTTGTAACCAACTCCTATCACTTCCTGTTTAGTAGTGATTCGGTTTTTAATTATTTGTATATTTCCTTTCTTTATTGCTTCCGCACTGTACACATGGGTATGTTACTCTCACGTGACGGCCATCATGCCTTGATCTCGATCGGGGTGTGTCATTTTTAATTTGTACCAATTTTTTTTTTCATTTTTAATTTATACCCATATATTAGTTTCTTGTTGTGACCATATTTTTTTAAAGTTTTATTTATGTTTGTACCCATGTGTATATCATCACATGACATTGTATATTTAATCAATAATAGAAAAATTACATATGGAATATTTATGTTTTATGCCTAAACTTTGTATCTTATATTTATATTTTTAGTTTGTACCCATTTTTAATTTCCAACATTTTTTTAAATTTGTAGTATTTTATTTTTAGTTTTATTTTGTACCATGTATTAATTTTTTTAGCGCCTATATTTTTTTAAAATTAATTTGTACTTATAATTTTTTAATCTTTTATTTGTACACTAATTTATTTATAATGTACTCATTATTCTTTATTAATGTACCACTTTGTTATATGTGAAATGTACCAATTTTTTTAACACTACAGATATATTCTTTTGCCATTTATTATTTCTTATTTTTACATAGTTTATCCATTTATTCAATCAAAATGTTTGAATTTTTTTATTGTAACCATTTCTAATAGTATTATAATGAGAGATTTTAAATTTATAGAATTATAAATCTCATAAAATATCAAACAATTAATGTCAAAACTATAAAAATATAAATATTAACTGTAATATAATGATGTGTACAAAGTCAAGGACTTTGATATAACTTTAAATACCATTAAAATTTTAGTCAAAGAATGTTAAGAATTAAAAATTCCATCCAAAGTATCCCTTAAATAATATACTTCTAAGAAGTACATTGATACTTTATAGGCTGAGGGGCGAGTTAGGTTGTTTTTAAAGAGATTCAAGCCTTACAGTTGTTTGACAAATCCACGATACACCGGTATAATTATGAAATATTTTTCAATATGACCTAGGATGTTACACTAAATATTATTATATAAATGTAAAAACACTTGAAAATAAAATTTTATATCATTTATATAATAAAATATGATGTATCATTTTGTGTTCCAAACACGCTGAATTTTTTTCTCTGTAGTTCTTGACCTGTCCCCTAGACGATAGAACATCCCAACCGAATTTTTGTGGGACTCGAACATAGGCAAAAGGATGTGTCCAAACTCCACCATCAACACCCTTCGGTTATGGAGGGACTGATTTCTCTTCCCGCTACTAAGTAAGCATTTTGACCTTGAAGCTCGCCAACGATGGCAGAAACGGAGGAACCCCCTATACACTTTAAGAATCTCAGTAGCAGAGAGTACCAGGGCCACAAGAAGAAGGTCCTCTCTCTCTCTAAATAATCCAATCGCAATCTACACAAAACCCTATAATCTTTTGCTCCCCGTCTTCAATGTGCTAAATTTGTTCGTTTCGTTGTGGAAAAGGTGCATTCTGTGGCTTGGAACTGCACGGGGACGAAGCTTGCGTCGGGTTCTGTTGATCAAACTGCTAGGGTTTTGCACATTGAGCCCCATGGACATGTAAAGCTAGCTCTTTCCAGTTAATTTATTCATATTTCCAATAAATTCACTGTTTTTTCTAAGTTGTATACATGTTAATATATGTTTATATATGTTGCAGGGTGAGGCTAAAGATATTGAATTGAAGGGGCACACAGATAGCGTGGATCAGCTGTGTTGGGACCCCAAGCATGCTGATTTGATTGCCACTGCCTCTGGGGACAAGACGGTTCGTCTTTGGGAATTTGATTGCCACTGCTCGAAGTAAGCCATTGCTATTTCAAGTTTCGATTTTTTTTTTTTTTTAAGGTCCAAAGATGGGAATTTGATGTTATCCCTATGTGGGTGCTTCAGGTGGAAAATGTGCACAGCTAGCAGAACTTAGTGGGGAGAACATTAATATCACCTATAAACCTGATGGGACGCACATCGCCGTTGGTAATGATAGGGTAATGTTTACTTGTCCCGAACCTCTATTCCACGAGTTTGTGCAGTTTCTGGTTTAGTAACTTCATTTTGTGGAATTCTGAGTGGTGGTATCAGTAGCTAATACCTATGTTTTGCTGTTCTTATGCTGTTTTTTTCGCCCCTCATTCAAATGTAGGATGATGAACTAACAATTTTGGATGTTCGGAAGTTTAAGCCAATTCACAAACGAAAGTTCAGTTATGAGGTAATTATCAAAAGGGACACGTTTTTTTTATTCCCTCTTGTATTAATATCTCATCAGCATGAGGCTTTTTGAAAAAACTTTGATGCCTAACCTTGAGAAGTCATTCAATTTTCTTATGATCTTCATGCTGGTGTTGAAGTTGAAGGCGTAAAATTTATGAAATAATCAACACTAATTCGTCCTTTTTCATTAAACATCAGTGCTTTGAATCTACTATTCTGTATCCACTTGATTATGTTTTCAATGATTTTTGTGAGTAGAGCCACTAACGTAAGTAGTATGACTGCTTCATAGTTGTGGAAACATGTGTAACTTATCTGTAGATCATTTGTGCGATCCTTCCGCTTGTTGCTTCATCTTAGTACAAGGGACACCCTCAAATCCTGTTTATAGCATCTGACTCTGCACCTCAAATACTTATTGGGCAGTCTTCTGCTTTTCCAGGTTAATGAAATTGCTTGGAGCACAACAAGTGAAATTTTCTTCTTGACGATTGGAAACGGTGAGAATAACTTTCTGCTAGTAATCTCTTTTCTTTCTATATGTTGAAATTCGGATTGGATATTTAAATATATATTCTTTTGTTCGGGTAAGGTTGAAGTACTAGCATACCCATCTCTTAAACCAGTCGACACTCTCATGGCTCATACAGCTGCCTGTTATTGCATTGCTATTGACCTAATTGGAAGGTTTGCTACAAAGATCTATTATTTTTTAGGGTTAATCTATGTTTACTACTCTGAAGTTTCGTGGTTTTCAACATTTGGTACATGAAGTTTTTTTCATCCCAGAGTCATATCTCAAGTCTTAATTTTGGGACAGTTTCATACATCCGTTAAGTTATCCGTTAGAATTTCTGTTAAGTGATGACGTGACACCCACCTGAACAATAACTCAGCGCCACGTGTCAATATGAGCCCACTTCAATATTAAAATATTAAAAAAAATACAAAAACACAACAAAAAAAAAAAGAAAAAAAAAAGAAAGAAAAACCCACCCATCTTCTACTCCCCCTTCCTTCTTTCCTATGCAACCTGCACCCTTCTTCTGCAAAGTCAAATAAACAAACCCTCGAGCAACTCACAGCTTCATCGCAATCCCAACACTTGCGGCTACCAACCCGCAACCTTCAGCATCTCGTCTCTCTCGCCACTTCAAAATAGAACAACAGCGGCACCACTTTTGTAGACCCGCGACTCCCAGATCCACATTTTTGCAGCCATTACAAATTCTAGCCTCAACCCACGACCTTCAATGTGCGAATGGGGAGAAGAGAGAGGGAGGGTGGGATCTGGGTTGGGGATTTTGCAACCAAATTAAAAAGGAAAAAGCTTTTCTCAATTCGTACCAGTGCGAATTTTCCCACCAAATCAAAAACCCAGATACCAATTGCTACCAACAGCAATGGCGTCTCCTACGCCGTACGCACCAACCCTCTCGACCCTATTGGCAGCCATTGACTTAGGCACCAACTCCTTCAAGCTGCTCATAGTCCGAGCATACCCAGACGGCAAATTCTTCACCGTCAATCAATTCAAAGAGCCGGTGGTTCTCGGCCGCGACACCACATCATCATCAAACCCAACCCCTTTTGCAGTGAACAAAGCCGAGTTCTTGGAACGCGTGAGGGAGGAGGTGGGTTTGGAGGCTGATGTGCTGCCGGGTGAGGATGAAGCTCGGCTGGTTTATCTGGGTATACTGCAGTTTCGAAGCGATCAGCGTCACTTACCACCTCAACCCCCAGATCGAAGTTATCAGCTCTCGTTGTCGTCATCATAGTCGTTTTCGTCGTCGCTGCTTAGACACGGAGCCACCAAGCTGTGAGGAGTGAGTAGGCCGGAGTGGAACTTGAGCGGAGGTAGAGCGGGACCACCGCCACCGCTATTGGTGCCGAAGCGCAGAGGCAATATTGGGTATGCGTCGGAAGTGAGTTTCTCTGCGAAAGGCGACCGGATTGCTTGTGGGGTTTGTTGTTGTTGTTCTTGCACTTCCATTTCTGATCCCTACAGGTATTCAACTGAAAAATTAAAATTAAAATCTCAAAAATTTTGAAAATTTATGAACTTTCAGGATTTTGGTACCTGTTTGATCCATTTGATTGCACTCTCGTCGAGGCCTTCGGTGAACATTGTGCTGGGTTATGGGTTAAAAAGGGAGAGAGAGAGAGAGAGAGAGAGAGAGAGAGAGAGAGAGAGAGAGTTGGGGAGGCTGGGATGGAGAAGCTGCAGGTGGGACTAGACTACGCTTGCAGAGGAGAGAATGGAAGCTGGTGCGGTTTGCAGAGGTGAAAATGGAGGGTCTTGTGGGTTGCAGAGAGAGATGGGAGGGAGGGGTAGGGGTGGGGTAAGAGACGGGTAGTTTTTTTGTATTTTAAATTTTTTTTATTTAAATTTTCATGTATTTTTAATTCTAAATATTTTTTAATTTCCACGTGGACCCATGTTGACACGTGTCGCTCAGTCATTGTCCACGTAGGTGCCATATCATCAGTTAACGGAGGTTCTGACAGAAAACTTAACAGATGTATGAAACTGTCCCAAAATTAAGACTTGAGGTATGACTCTGGGATGAAAAAAAATTCATGTACCAAATGTTGAAAACCACGAAACTTCAGAGTAGTAACAGAGATTAACCCTATTTTTTATTTTGTTCAAGCAAGAAAAAAATGTTTTTTGATGTCATCTGGGCTGTTAATTTGCTACATTAGTTTGTACTGCCTATCAAACTCCACCATCATCGATCCAAAATATGCTCTTGGCGATATCACATGAAGACCTGCTTGTACTGCTGCCTTATACTCTTTTTAATGCTCTTGTACCATGACAGATATTTTGCTGTTGGGAGTGCTGATTCCGGGGTCAGCCTTTGGGATATCTCAGAGATGCTCTGTGTGAAAACATTTCCAAAACTTGAGTAAGTTCTACCCTGTATTGCCTCTAAATTAATTATTCCTTTTATTACTTTAAATTCTGCAGTTATTGAATAACTAGTTTGTTGGGTAGACTTTTATCATCAGCATCCCGAAACCGTAAAACTTGAATGACCTCTTTTTGTACCTTTTCAGATCACCTGTGAGGGACAATAAGCTTCAACCACACTGGAGAGTATCTTGCGTCTGCCAGTGAAGACTTATTCATTGACATAGTAAGTGCTTCATGTGGCTTACCACCCCAAGCTTTTATCTTTTCAAGTATATTCTCCCTATGGGAGGATGTCTGGTTACAAGGGCTCCCGCCTGTTCATCACCTGTACGGTGACTTTGTTAAAAAATAGTAATAATGATGATATTGCTGCTGTCTAAAACAGTCAAATGTTCAAACCGGGAGGACAGTACATCAGATTCCATGTAGGGCAGCCATGAACAACGTTGAGTGGAATCCCAAATCCAATCTACTTGCATATGCCGGAGATGACAAGAACAAATATCAAACTGATGAAGGTATTGCCGTTTCTTCTTCCACTAAGCTCATTCATATGCACAAGACAAATTTAACTGATGTGTGTTTGGTTACCTTAATTTGTTGCAGGTGTTTTTAGGATATTTGGCTTCAAAAGTGCAACCTAAGTTATGCGCTTCTCCTTTGGCTTGTAATTGGAGCGGTTGTGCATGTGACGCGACTGTTGTGGTTCTAAACTTGCAATTGACGAGAATCGAATATAAAACATCTCACTCACACATCACATTTTAAATGGACAGAAAATTAATAAACGAACAAAAGAAGAAAATACTTTTATTTTTGTATTGTTAAGCAGTAATCATTTATTATTGTTAATTTTTGTCCTTTGATATTTTTCAATTCATCTGAACCGACGGCTGAAAATTAAAAGGGTGTGAGAGAAGTAAAAAGGGTGTGTGGATATCACATCCCCTATTTATTCTCAACACGAGGCTGAGCAGGTTTTTGCCCCATTTTTCTGTTTGGCTTGTACTATTTATTTGAAACCTTCATATTGTTGAAAACAAGTATTGCTTGATATTGATTTCTATTGAGAATATTGATAATTTTATTTTCGATAAAAGGTGTTTGTAGTATGACTGTATGACACAATTGTATTTCTGTATATAAACAAGAACAATTTCATTGGATGAATTATGATATATAATCACATGTACAAAGAGAGGAGAGCTTTAGCAGTGTGCCCTTGATCTGGCTGGAAGTATTAGATTTTGCAAAACCTACTGATGTAATTTCGTTGTTTGAGTGAATGCAGGCTTCAAAGGTAGTGTGCCCAGATAAAATGTCTGTTTCCGCTCTTCATCTTGAATGATCAGAACCCTGAAAAGAGAGTATAATTTGGTTGTTCGAATGTGTCTGGCAAGGAAGCGGACCAAAGAGGCTTCATCCCCCACTTCACCTTTTGGACATCGAAGAAAAGGATGATTCTGCAGCAGCAAAACATTTGGATTACCATGATAGATTATCTGATACTAGCAAGCTTCTTAAAAGTTGAATGAAGACTTCAATCAGATCACCGTTGAATGAAGACTCCGATCAGATCACCGGTGACTGGTTGACGGAAATAGTTGAGCAATGGCCAGGAGATTGATGGAAGAACCTGGCTGAAGTCAATTGTGTTCGGCTCCGCTGGTGGGCTGGTTTGAAGGATCGTTTTCTGCAGGCTTCCCAAGCATTGGATGTAGACTTCGATCAGATCACCGTGACTGGCATTGAATGAAGACTCTGATTAGATCACCGGTGACTGCTTGACGGAAAGAGTTGAGCAATCTTTGGCCCGGAGATTGATGGAGAACCCGGCTGAAGTCAGCTGTGTTCAGCTCTGCTGGTTGGCTGGTTTGAAGGATCGCTTTCTGCCGCCTGTCTTTCCCTTCCAGCTTCTGCTATATCTTGAATGCTACCATTCTCAGCTTCAGCTTACTTTTCCAAGCATCTTCATAATCCGCAGAGCATGAATTTCGAAACCGGAAACACCAAACCTGCAAAGCAAACAAGGCAGATGGTAATCAGATACTGAGAGCACCAAGTCAATGGCTTCCATTTGTTCTCGACGCTCGAGCTCTTCATCCTCTTCCCGCTTTGCGGCTCCTTAGACAAATCGAAGCTCGCCCCCTTCATCCTCAGCTCTTGAATACACCTAGTGAGTGCTCGGTTCACGCTCTTGTCCCTCTGCAACTGGTTCCACACCTTCCAGTACCTCCAAAGATTCACCTGCACCAAAAACACAAACACAAAAGAGGTCGAGAGCGACAAAACGCTCGGTATCCACCATTTTTTACAGACTTGGTGGTCTTCCGATTTGTAAAACGAAGACGTGAACAGGATGGTGGTGAAGAACCCATGAAAGATCAATAAAAAGCAGCAGAGCTGAAAGATTTCTCGGCGGATGGAATCCATTCTGCACTCCTTTCTCGCAAAGCGCCTGGCGAAAATGTCTTCTTCCCTTCGCCAGAGCTTGAGAAGCAAGAGATGGCCGGGGGATTCGGAGATTTCCATCAGTGGGTGGTGTTGGATTGCGGAAATGATGGTCATGGCGGACGAGAGCTTCTGCTGGTGCTCTTCGTCTACCGGGATTTCAACAATGTGGGCATCTTTCATTTCTGCCATTGGCAAAGAAATGCTTGAATAAATCAAAGCTTGAAAGATAAACAAATGGAATTGTATATGAACAAAATGTGCAGAAAGTGAGAGTTCAACAAAGTAATTGAAATTTAGAGAGAGAAAGCTTGAGAATTTGCAGTGAGAGAGAGAGCAAGCGAGAGATATGATTAGTATCGATTGCTTTTGCGTGGAGGAAGATGAAGGATTCCGAGGTATTTAAATTTGTTGGGAAGAGCCTGAGAGTGATGAGGGTTTGCCGGCAACGGTTACTTTTTCTCCAAACGGTCCGATTTTCTGGCCGTTTATTTTATTCTCTCCAAAAGTCGCATTTTCTCAGTCTCCGATGGGCTTAGATAGTAGTTTGGGTCAATATTTGAAGCCCATATGATCGGTACGAATTTATGTGCACACCCAAACTGGATTTTTAGACTCATAAAACTTGATCTAACGACTCTTATTCAAATGTATAACTTAAATTTACACTAAAAAAAGCCTCGCATTTATCTACCAATATTTAGTGACTTTATAATATGACTACACCAATTATCGATCATCTTAATCGAGCCAATGGTCGGAACTTGCCCCTAAAAACCGACTCGTAACATAATGAAGCTCAATAGCTCGAATGTCATACAACCTTAGACTAATTCTCTATAGCGAAACATTGGTTCCTACTATGTCGCTTGTCTGTTTTCATGGCCAACAAACGACACGAGATTAGGGTGGAGTAAAATTTGTTATTAATTGTGTTAAGTTAATTGCCTAAAACAAGCGAAGTGATTGTGTCTCAATTGGTTAAGAGTGATCACCTTTTGTTTCCAAAATTTCTCGTTCGAATCCGCCCTTCTTCAATATCGCTTGTAATAACAATTGCATAAACAAAATTGCAAGTTTTCAACAACAAAAATTGTGATTGGTGTGACCAAAACATCAAGCTAGGATGTCCATTGAATCTCCCTATGATAAATCCAATTGGCTCCATTGGATCAAAATCCAATTTATCAAGTCACTTTTCCATACTCCAACAAAAAAAAAAAAAAGTTTTATCCTATTAAATGAAGTCAGCTATATAAATTCTAGAACGCCACTGCAATCAATTTTGGGTATACTCTTAAGATTTGTGCCAAGTTGCTTTTTCGTACTCCAATGTTAGCAAATACGCCCCCTAAGTTATATGGAAAATGATCCTCCCCGGATCCTTTTCATAGGGATCCTTTGATCGTGACACTTCATCGTACATTGTGTGGTCATAAATCATTTCAAAATTTAAAATTTAAAATAAATATAAATAGTACATAACGAAAACTAACTGTACGATATACGATGAACGGTCATGATCAAAAAATTCCTAGGATTTCCAAGAAAAAGATTCTTTTCCAAGTTATACGAAAAAATCATTTGAGAAATTAATATCTAAAAAAATTGTACATATTCAACTTTTAAATAAGTGGAGGGAGGGTACATGCAAAATTGCATTACAAGACCTTATTGCCTTGATCGTGGCATGCAATTTGGCCACTGAAATACTCTTTTCTTTGTTTTGTCTTGTAATGTAGTCGGTCAATATTGTAAGAAGTGTATTAGCGTGGAATGAGATTGTCGCACCTTATTCAGGACGTCATCTGCAAAGACTCTAGTTGTAGTTGATTTAAGTGTCAATTTCATTATCTTTTTCTAAAATTCGTCTAAAAATGAATAAAATTACACTCATTTAATAATAATTTATACAGTAAGAATGCATACTACCACGGTACAACCCAATTGTTGAGAGGCATAAGTATTCCAAAAAAATTGCATCAAAAATAAAAAAGATCGAAACTTGTGGAGAAAAGCACGTGAGATGACTTTTGTACAATCAATATCACTTCTTTTAAACTATACAAAATCCCTAAGCCCTAATCGTTTGGATTGAAATTAATTGTTTGATATAACCAATGAGAGTTGGTTAAGTTTGGAAGGATCGATTGGATCGTTCTTTTCACTAGAACAAAATATAAATTCGAATTCTGCCATTAACAATCCCTTGAGTGATCTGTAAAAAACTAAAAAATGAGTTAAGATCTTCTTGTAAGTTTTCAAAGAGATGTGGTATGGTATGATCCTGTAATAAAGTAAATCTCTTTTCCTCAACTTTTTGACAAAATAAAATAAAATAAAATAAAAAATAACCGTTCAATATTCCCAATGACCAAAATTTGGGTCATAGTGTCTCATAGTCAAAGTCAATATTCTGTTGGAAAATTGAGTAATATAATAGCACAATAAAAATTATTCCAAAAAAAATAATATATATACTAATTAATAAAATACTCATTGTTAATCAAAATATTATGAAACTGCCAGTTTAATCCTCCAATTAAAACAGAACATGAATAAGAAATATGGAGCATAAATGTAATTTCACACAACCAAATTTTGCTGTTTTTTCTTCAAATCCTCACTTACATGTAATCCTAACACATCTCTAATTAAAAAAAAAAATTCTCACTCCCACATTCTCTATCACTCTATTCCTCTCTCCTTCTATTTCAAAAACAAAAATAGAAAAAATTTCTCACACGCTTTGTGTGTGCCCATATGCTAGTTCTATATTGTATTTATAGTTGGAATATTAAGTAATTTAATAACTTTGAATGGAAAATATATCATTGTAATATTTCATATAAGATTTAGGTTCACTTTTTAGAACACTCAAATCTCTTTTCAAAAGTTAAATTAAAATATTTATGTGTTTATCGAATAAGACATTTTAACGTATTTTTCAAATTGTTGTTTTTATTTGATTTATTCATTCTGATGGCAAAAATGAATTACCAAGCACAAAGTTAAGTGAACAAAAACACCCCTCCCCGGTAGCCAGTCTTCCCACAGGGCAGAAAGAAAATCCCAATCCGTCTCCCTCACCCAACTTTCTTGTTCAGAAAGAAAGGCTGAAAACCCAAAGTCTTCAAATGCTCTCACTATAAATCCCTACACGCACTAGCAGCTTTTGCTCTCCCATATTCATTTCCCTTTCTCATTCGGATCACCAATCGCAGAGCAAATCCTGCAAAAGTATGCATCTCTACAATGCATGGCTGCCGCCACCGGTGGCCGAGGAGTCGAAGAAAGAGAAGGAGTCCTTCTCCTGGGTCGTCTCCTCCGTCAAGAACTCGTACAAACCCGACGACCCTGAATCCGTCTATGCTACTCTCAAATGGGTTTCTGTTATCGACCTGTGAGTTCACTTAATTTACTCTCTTTCTGTATATTTTCGTTAAATTTATGGTTTTTCTGAACTATTTTCTTGTTTTACTGTTGGGTTTGTTTTAAATTCTGCTTATTTAAATTGGTTTTTTTCTTAAATTTGAAAATCTGAATTACTTATGTTCATCATTTCAATAATATACTCGAGCTTTGTAAGCAATGAATGTGTTAGTGTTACTGTAAAATCATATTGAAGTTGCCAAGTTGGATGTATAATTTTGTTATGCAGTTTCGTCAAGGCGAAAAGTGAAGTATCCTTGGAAGATGTAACTGCCCTTGTTGAATTTGGATTGGAATTGTTTTATGTATCGCAAAATAAGCTTTATGCCCAGGTAATACTTTGTATAGCTGATTTTTACTTAAATTCATTATTCATTGACATGCTTGTCGTCATTATTCTTAAATGTTGGTTCGATTTGTATTGATTAGGTTAGATGGGGAAACATCCTAGTCAAACTACTCAATAAGCATCGAAAGAAGTTGTCTTTGAAATTAAAATGGCGGCCTTTGTACGATACATTGATCCATACACATTTCACTAGGTGAGCTTATACATTCACCTTGAAATATACTGCCTTTTTCATACATAGTTTTATTAATTTATTGCTTGTTCTTAATTCATAAGGATTTTATTATAGATGCCAGTAGAAAATATTAAGATAAGACCATCTATTTTCTAAACAGGACAAATTTATGTACATACGTTCATGATTCATTGTGAATGCAGTCAAACTGTGGTTTTGAAAAAAAAAGGTGTTCTTAAATACTGAAGCCAATGGCTTCAAGGAAGGATGAAGGAAGATGATAACCAATCAAACTTCAAGTGCTTAATTGTATGCAGTGTATAACCTGACATCTGGCTTTAATAATGCTGTATATAGTTATTGTTATTGTTTCTTTTGAAATATTTGGCTTGATTACTACCTTTATGTGATGCAACCAACTCCTCAATTAAATTCGTATAGCATTTTACGCATAGACAGCTTTTGAAGAACTTCATATATTGATACCTGTTACAGGAATACAGGTCCAGAAGGCTGGAGATTGAGACAACGGCATTTTGAGGCTACTACTTCTCTAGTTCGGTCCTGCCGGAAGTTCTTCCCACCAGGTTCTGCCTTTGAGATATGGTCCGAGTTTAGGTAAGTACTTTGAGGCCCTTTCCCTTGAATTTGTTAGTTGGACTGGGATGCATGATGCCATTTCTGGGTTTTAGCCTCCATCCATCTCTAGGATGTTTGACACACTATTGATATTTCATCAGGTCAAAAGGATTAAAATACTGTTCCACATGGTCCAAGTCACTTTTGCATCATTTTTTTTTTCAGTTTTTTTTTTAATTTTTTTTAATTTTTAATTTTTAATTTTTTTAAATTTTTGTATGTTTTCATTTAAGAAGGTCGCACTTGGTGCAATGGCAAGTGCCTTCGCCCATGAGCGGTAGGTCTCGGGTTCGAGACTTGGGAGCAGTCTCTCCATAAAATGGGGGTAAGGCTAGCCGACATTCACCTCTCCCAGACCCTGCGTAAAGCGGGAGCCTTGTGCACTGGGTACGACGATTTGTATGTTTTCATTTGCATAGATAGATACACACACACATGCACATTCACGTTTAATAGAACTACACGATAGGTGATTACGGTTGAACTCTTAATTGTTCCACTCACTCCCTCATTGTTGTTTCTATTTGTTTAATGAAACAAATTGTGCAGATCTTTATTGGAAAATCCCTGGCATAATTCATCCTTTGAGGGATCCGGGTTTGTTAGACTGTTTCTTCCTACAAACTTGGACAACCAGGACTTCTTCTCGCAGTAAGGAGCGCATATATCTCATATTCTTGTTCTTTATGGTTTTCAACATGATTTGTTGTGGCAAGTCACCTTGTATTCTTGGTATTGCAGCGATTGGATTAAAGAGTTTTTCCGCCTCTGGGACTCGATACCGAATTGCCAATTTTGGAACAGTCAATGGGCGGCTGTTATAGCTCGTGTTGTTAAGAACTACAAGTTGATTGATTGGGAGTGTTACTTGCCCACACTTTTCACCAAATACTTAAATATGTTTGAGGTGAGTGAATAAGCCCTTCAAGGAAGCTTGAATTTGTATTGAGTTAGGTTACTTGCATTTTCCTTGATGTTTGATCATG